AAAAAAAAAATACTAAAAAGAACAAACAAGATGTAATCACTTTCTAAAAATTTGGTCCCAGTGGAGACTCAATCTAAATGGAGATTTTCCCAGCACTTTTGTCATCTAACTTTGTTTAAAATGATACTTATAACCGACTGGCAGGGGGAGGAGGGAGAGGAAAACAGGGAGAGGTGGGTCAACCAGTACAAAATTATAATTACATAGGAGGAATAAGTTCTGATGTTCTATTGCACGGCAGGGTGACTCAGGTTAACAGTAAAGTTTTGTATATTACATTATAGCTAGAGGAGAGGCTTTTGAGTGTTCTTGCCGTAAAGAAATGATAAATGCAGATACACTAACTACCCTAACTTGATCCTTATACAACATATATGTATCAAAACATCAGATTGTACTCCATAAATATGTACAATTACTACGTGTCAATTAAAAATTTAAAAAGATGCAACAGTAAACGTAAGAGTTTTTGGCTTGAAACTACAGAATGCCCTGGAAACAATACTGGGCATTGCACGACTCTAGGGGGTGCCATTCACATTATTTCTATATGGATGACAATTCCTTGATGCACAGTATGAATGGTGGGTCCTGGAGTTGTGCAACACTGCCGTCCTGCCTGGAAGTGGTGTAATTTGTCTGTATCTCAAAGTACGTATAAGCCAGCAAGATAAGCAGATGGCACTCACAGTCCCAAGAATAGTCCAGTACTATTCTGTTCTTGCAGGAAGCTGTTTTTAAACATAGTCCAGATAGATTAATCTCACCAGTGGATACAAAAGAGGTTCAGATAATGTAGGGAGCCTGCAATATTTCTGATTTCTAAGTGCCTATTTTAAAGACAGATGTAAGACCCTAGAAAGTCCAGGTTCCTACAGTGTGGTAGAGTATGATTTGCATAAACAATTCTGTAACATCATTAATCAGAGGAGTTTAGGATGGCTCACTTGCTCTCTCTCGTGCACACCTGTTCCTGCTGGAGATGAATGACTAGATAGCAACAGCACCTGCTCTTTCAGCGCTGCTTTACCGATTTGAGGAACATCATTAATCTCATCTTTAAAGCTGGAGTCTTATGGCAAAGCTTCACGGGTGTCTAGAATATATTCACATAGTTCTCGTCAGAGTCAATTACCACTAGAACACATTTTTAAAAATGTTCTTTTAAAAAGATAATTTTTACAATTATTACAATAATTATTACAACAACAAAATCAGCCTTTTAAGCAAGAGTATTTTCAAGGACAGGATAGGACATTCTGAAAGGTTTCATCGTATTAACTACTATGATATATAGAGCTCAACAAATTAGAATTAGTTTTGCCTCCTTTAATATAAAATTTTAAAAAATGAACTCATATTTCTTCCCATTTTCTATATGGTGTTTTGGTCTTTAACCTTTATTGGGGCAAAGACACTTGTGAGAACATGATGTAAGATGGTACCTCTTCCAAGAAATGCACTCAGATATATATACACAAACTTTATCATAAATTTCACTGGTTATTAATTTGTAAAATCTATTCATGGATGCTCTAGTTTCAAAACTTCAATATAAAGGCTAGTATAGAGTGAAAATAAATTTTAAGAACCCCAAATAAAATCCATTCAAGGGTTGAGGAAGAAGTTAATGTGTTTTTTTT